TAGGGTAATTTCATTGAGATGTGCAGAATTTATGGAGAAAGAAAATTTCAGCCTGCTCACGCAAGACAAGCACAATTCCTCCACTGAAAGTGGCTGTCAAAGGTAGACTGGCACACAGTTTGTAAGGCGGGAGTCAAAGTGGTATTTGTTGTACCCGTTGTGGTGGTCACAAGTTGCAGAAGATGAAGTTGTGTGTAGTTTAAAACTGCAATCTGAAATACTTTTTTTAAATCATTGTCCACTTTACATTCATTTATATACCAGAGCTCGCTAACAAATTCAATGGAAGGAACACATACTTAGGGAGGGCACTGCATTTAAAAATACCTTTAAAAAATATCACTAGCCACTTTTTCTTCATAAAACATGATTGTAAACAAGATTTTGTCCTCTCAAAATTCACATAGTGAATTCCTGATCTCCAACACCTCAGAATGTGACTGAGCTATTTTTGGAGATGAGGTCACAGAAAGGTTATTAAGTTGGAAAGGGGCTCTTAATCTAATAGGACTAGAAGCAGGAGAGCCACCAGGGACTTGTGCACATAGCCAGGGACACATAGGGACACCGTGAGAAGGCAGCCATCCTCAAGACCAAGAGAGGCCTTGGGAGGCCCCGCAGTGCGGGGAACTTCACCTTGGGCATCCAGTCTCCAGAGCTGTGAGAGAAGAAATTCACGCTGTTTAAGCCACCTACTTAGTTTAGGTATTTTGTAATGAGTGCAATTCTAGCAAAACGATACATGTGCATATTCTGTAGGTACCAAAATAATAATTATAAAAACTAGCAATTTGTTCTGAATTTAAATCCTTAATAGTATAGAAAATATGAGACAATGCAAAAATGGATTTTGATGAAATCTTCTCTCCTGTCTTTTTCTCTACCTACCTCTCGAAATCCAGCCCAGTTCCCTTATGCAACGTTCTCCACTGTGCTGGGCCACCCAGCTCCCATCTCCGGCTCCTTTGATGGCTGCAAATACATTTAAAATAAAAATCTTCTTTTTCTTCTGGGCCCCATATTCAAATTAAGTGCGAGGGTAGCTGTTTATGTGACGCTTACTGCCCATCATCTATCATTCCCGGTGACACCTGGACACCAGCACATAAGGCAGATGCAAACTCCGTGATCTAGATTGCACTGCATTATCTTACAATTTCCTGATTGTGTCATGACTGGCTCTACATCATATACTTTAAAATACGGCACGTGGTCTTATCTTATTCTTTTTTATTTTCTGTAATCAAGCCCATATATGACCTTACATATTTAATACAGTATGTTACCCCTGTACGAATGGAAAACAATAAAAAATAAAAATAAAAAAATAAGATAAGACTACAAGAGCAAGAAGCAATTTAAATATGTTAAGGGACCATTTTCATCTTCAGAATTAAGGATTATTTTAATCTTACATCATTGCCTTTTCTCTTTTACTTTGCTTTTTAGTTTTATTTTAGGGTTCCCTATTTTTAATGTTCATACAGAGACTTCTTTAACTGAAATACCAAATAGTTTCACCATGCGATGCCATTAGCACCCTGTGACATAGAAGTCCCTTAGACAGTGCTGCCTGATCTTGGGGTTTCAGCCTTTAAAACTATAGCTAAATAAACCTCTTTCTGCATAAAAGTAAACAATCTTAGATATGTGATATAGAAATACAGAGCAAAGTAAAATAAGCCCATTTCTGAATTTGGAGTTGCCCTCAATTGAATTTTCCCTGAATTTGTATTAAGATACATACCTTCTTATTATAGCTAAGGAGAGCAAACTGAGCTTCTTTCCAAATTCTTTGAAGAGAACTAAACATAAATTTGTTTAAGAAGAATGTAAATCGGTGGACGAGTGTGACGTGACTGCAGGCGAGTCCCAGCTAGGGCCCCACCCTGACCCCAGATGTGAGGACACACAGCCCAAAGCCACAGGCTGCCTAGAAAAGGGCTGCACAGGTGCACAACCTTCGTTCAGAGTTCCACCATACCATCAGTAAGTGCATGCACACCCTGGGAAGCAGCTGTATGAACCAGCATGGCATAGCTGAAGGTGGGTCCGAGCTAGGGCCACACCCTGCCCTAACCCCAGAGGTACAGGCACATGTGCCCAAGCCACAGGCCACCTGGAAAAGAGCTGCATAGGCATGTAAGCTTCATCCAGAGTCCTGACATACTACGGGCCACAGCTAACGACCTACCTAAAAAAGAACTACATAGATGCACAAGCAACAGCCAGAGACTCACCCTGATATCACTGATAAGTGCCTGAAGACCCTAGCCAGAAGCCTACACAGACAACAGGAACTTGAACACACAGCCCCCAACCAAAGTCCACCCCCGCCCAGACAACAGCTACATAAGGGCCCCAGTGAGAGACACAACTAGATATCATCCCAAGTATGCAAAGACCCCAGCCATAATCCCACCCAGACAACAGGTCAGTTCAGGGATAAAGAAGGCCACCATTCTAAACCCAGGAATTGGTGTACTAGGGGGCAGCAGGGTAAAGGCTGCTTGGTGGCCTACTGAGAATTGAAGACCACTGGGTGAGCAAAAAGTTCTCTCAACAAAAGCACAGCTGGCTGTTGAAATGGGATGACACAGAAATAAGTGTCAAAGCCAGATTTGCAGATTACCTAAGGCAACCCCAAAGGGAAATGGGGTGGAACACTCTGATACTCAATACTTGGACTCCCTGAACTGACAACAAAAGAGGACCTGGAAAAAATGAAAACAGAAATATTTCTCAGATAACAGCAGAGATGTGCCCATAGTACAAGACACTATTAATAAAGCTATAGTGGACACAGAAAAAAAAATAGAGGAGCTGAGAAACATGATGGAACCCCAACACAGGAAACAAATGGAATCCATAAAACAGTCGCAAACAGATTTCTAAGAGGTTAAAAACTCCACTGAAAATTCACACAGCAGAATGAGCCATTGTGAGGACAGAATTCCAGATATAGAAGATAGGATTGCAATCAGTGACCAGGAAAAGAAGAATCTCTTAAGAATAGTAAGAGACTATGAGAGATCATTCCAGCAGCTGCTAGACAATTCAAAGAATAACATAAGACTGAATGGAGTCAGTGAAGAAACAGGAGAGAGTACAGAAGACATAAATACACTGTTCACTGAAGTAATGGAAGAAAACTTCCCAAATAGGGGGAAAGAACCTGACATACAGATAAGTGAGGCTTATAGGACTCCAACTAGCCATGATCAAAAGAAATCTACACATAGACTTATAACAGTCAAGATTCTAGAAACCCAACAAAAGAACAAAATTCTACAATCAGTTAGAGAAAAGAAACAAATCACATACAAAGGAAAACCCACCAGAATCACAGTAGACTTTTCAACACAAAGCCACAAGGCAAGAAGATCATGGAGTGATGTATTTCAAGGAAAACAACCTCCAACCCAGATTGATGTACCCTTCAAAACTATCTTTCAAAATTGATGGGAAATAAGATTCTTTTATGACAAAGAGCACCTTAGCAACTTCATGAATACTAAACCAGCACTCCAAAAAATTTTAAACAATATCCTAGGAAAAGATAATGAAGATCACAACCCAAGGAAGCCCAGCAAAATGAATCCATCAGGCATGACAAGAAATTAAGTGCAAATGGGAAGAATCCAAGATAAAGAAAAAGTCATGATAAGGACAAATCAATACATATCTGTTATAACCATCAGTGTTAATGGCCTCAATTCACCAATCAAAAGAAATAGACTGGCAGAATGGATGAAGAAGCCAGATCCAACAATATGCTGCATACAAGAAACACACTTAATTCAAAATGAAACTCATAAACTAAAAGTTAAAAGGTCAAAAACAACACCCCATGTGACAGGACCCCACCTAAATGCAGGAGATATCCTCTTTGCAGATCAAGTTGATTTCAAAGCAGGGCTGCTTAAGAGAGACAAAGAAGGACACTACATCCTTGGAAAGGGAACAAGAGGAAGAGATGATAATCATTAATATATATGTGCCAAACACAAGTGTGCCCAACTGTTTAAAACAAATATTAATGGATGTAAAAAATCTTATAAGCACTAATACAATAGTAGTGGGGGACCTCCATACCCCACTGTCACAAATAGATAGATGAACCAGACAAAAAATAAACAATGAAATACTAGAACTCAATCAAAATGTTGAACAAATGAATTTAGCAGATGTTTATAGAGTGTTCCACCCCACAAAATCAGAATACACTTTCTTTTTGGCTTCACATGGATCGTTCTTCAAAATAGATCGCACACTTGCTGATATAATATTTTAAGTAAGTGCAAAGGAATTGAAGTTATCCCCTGTATTATTATAAACCATAGTGTGATGAAATTGGAATTCAATAGTAAAACAAACTGCAAGAATTTCATAAACACAAAGAAATTGAAAAATACACTTCTAAATAACCAATGGGTCACAGAGGAAATTAAAGAAGAAATCAGACAGTTCCTACAACGAAATGACGACAATGACAATATAATATATTGGATTCTATGGGGCACAATGAAAGCAGTCTTATGAGGAAAATTCATAGCAGTGAATACTCATTTTAGGAAAACAGAGTGAGCTCAATTACACAACCTGATGATTAACTTCAAGCTTCTAAAAAAAGAAGAGCAGGAAAAACCCAAAAGGCACAAAGTGAAAGGGGAAATGAGAGGAGTAAGGAAAAAGAAAGATGGGAATGGAATTAACACGAGAAAAAGAAAAAATGGAAATGAAGTCTTTGTAGATAGGGAGGGGTGGAGGGGTTGAAGGGAGGGCAGGGGAATGGGGAAAAAATAAGAACCAAGATACATCATGTAAATGTGCAAATTTCCAATGATGATTTTCATTATATTAGATACCTTAAATGTACCAATAAAATTAATTAAATAGTAAAAACAAGAAGAAGAATATAAATCTTCACAAGATTAATAAATAGTTAACAACCAACCAACTGAGCAAATTTTATCCTAAGATTAATACTGATCACTTACTTGTCATCATTTAGTTCATATAAGCTAATGAAGGCTGAAATTGTCTTGGCAATAACACAGCGATGCTTGGTAGTGTTTTCTGTAGTAATAGTAAAGCAAAACACAGCATTACAGCATATACTATAAATTCAAATTACCCAGCACTACACTGCCTCCCATAACTCATAACTATGTACATCTTTTTTGGTATAAAACTTGGCAATGGCTCTTGGTCCCTGGCTAGTTAATAGGTGTATATCACACTGTTTTAAGAAGTACCCAAAGTTACTTTATGAATGTCATTGGCTCAGAAGAGTCTCTTCTTTAAATGCAGTCTGGCTGTTACATACATCAGCTGAGGATCCAACATACTGTAGTGCCAGTTACCAAATGATTGTATCAGCTTTCAGGGGAGAGACAGCTATTACAACTCCTTCACTATGTAGGAGAAGAAGAGAGAAAAGCCCAGAGAATTCAATTAAAAAAAATAATTGTATGATAATAGAGAACTATGAGATTTGGTTCTCTGTATGTATATTTAATTAATCCTGCCTACTTAATCTTTTTTGGCACCCATTTATGTGCTGAAGATTTTGGCATAGGCTTCAGTAAACTTTCAAATATCTATAAATGGATCTTCTGCTTCATTTATTTGTGGCAATATTGGCTTCCTTAGTTTATCGCCATGCAAAATTCTAAGAAGTTGAAAGTGAAGTCATATATATTAAGGCTGATATTTTTGAAAAAATATTTGGAGCCTCTTACCCATTTGGATAATCACCATTGAAATCAATAGAAAATAAAAGGCTGATGCTTCTTATCAGACGGAGTCAAGTATTTATATACTGTATTTCTTAGCAAAATATATATTACAGTTGGAGTGTTTACTGTTTGAAATTTCCATATACTTCTCTTCCCTTGATTAGAAAACATAAGAGGAAAATTGATAGCATCATAGTACAGTTATGAAAAATATTAAAAATATACAAAAATTCATTAGAAGGTTTCAAAATAAAATGAAATGAATAAAAGCAATATTAAAATGCTGATTAAAGCAGTCTCTCAACCACATTCATTGCTATTTCAAAATAAAAGCATTTGCTTCAAAAGAAAGAAGAGTCATTATGAAGAGTCATTTATATTTCATTATGAAAGCTTCCATGTAGGGTAAACTTGTGCTGTCTTTAAATCTGACTGATTTTAAGCCAATGCAAGAAAAACAGTTTTAACTGAATAAGAAAAATAATCATTATAAGAAGCATAATTTTCATTTGACACCATAGCAAGCAATGTCTTCTTGAATTGTACCTTGAAATTTTTGATAGTGTATCAAGTAAAGAAAACTCCAAAACAGATGTGTTGAAACTGATTGCTAGCCTGAAACAATTGAATCTTATAGAAAGTAAAGTAACATAATCTGCATACTCAGTTTACTTCTTCTGAGTGCAAAGAATTAGAGAAAATTAAACTAAATATATTCATAACTTGAAAAAATTATATTTAAATAATGGCTATATATTGAGGCTGAATTAAAAAAAAAAAAGAGTAGCTGCAACCTCTTACCCATGTGGATAACTCCCATTCAGTAGAAAGTAGGATCAGCAAGAAGGAGGAAAAATTAAATCACTCCACATAGCCAGTGCAAGTGTGAAATGGAGTCATTATTACGTAAAATAATATAAAATTTCTGCAAAAAATGAAGAGTATGTATCACACTATCCACAAGCCTACTTTGTGTATCTAGGCCTTTCTTCCTTTAAACATTTAGAAGAAATACACCTACTGAATGTACAACCGCTCTACTTTTTCCATGGCTTGGATTTCCAAGGTTTCAATTATCCATATTCAACAACGACCAGAAATGATTAAACAGACAATGCTAGAAAAATAAAATTCATAAATTTATATTACATGCCATTTTTTGTCATGATGAAATCTCCAACCATCCAGCTATTCCCTGTTCAAGTATCCAGCATCTCCTTGTCCAGTATATCCACAGTGTACACGCGACCGGTCCCTCAGTCCTAAGTAGTTATCGTGAGTAACCTGGAGACTGCCACTATAACAAAGTGCCTGCAAACCTTCATTTAGCGATGTCCCCAAAGTACAAGAGTGGTGATGCTAGCGATTTAGATATGACAAAGAGCAGCTTTTTAAAGTTCTCAATGCACAGGAAAAGTGAAAGTTGTTAAGGAAAGGGGAAAAAATTACATCCTGAGAGGTAAAGTTCCATAGCAGAATGACTGTTTCATCTAAGAATTTGTGAAGGAGGAGTAGTGGGGTGCAATGGAAGAAAGTCAGGTTGCTGTGGGAATGACACAGAAAGGGACACTGGACCCCTGGCCACGCTTCTATCTCTCTTTCCTTTCCATGAGGTGAGCCGCTATTACCTACTATACAGTCCCCACTACGAGGTTCTGCCTCACCAGAGACACAAAAGCAATAGAACCAGCCAACAAAGGACTGAAATGTCTTAAGACAAAATAACTTTCCTCATTTTTATTTGACTGTCACTGTGAGAGCAAGCTGCCTAATCCACACAAACACATGCAGAATGTTTTCATTAGACACTGTATTTTACAGTGTCTTACAGGGAAAATATCAAATTTTCTTTCCCTTAACAGATATCACAATGAAACTCTTCACATTTCAATTATGTACTGCAGAAAAATAATATTGGTGAGTATACTCACTGGCTAGCATAAATTTCCAGTTTTCTTTGATTTTGGAGAAGATCAACACTTGATTTCTTCTAAACTTAAAAAAGTCTATCTTTATAAACTGAGGATCATTCCTATAAATAGCAATGGATGTATCTTCCAGTTCAGAGGAGAATGATAAAGTTGGAAAAAATCATTACACTTACACTCTATTTAGAAAGCCCCTTGGAGACAAAAAGACACTTTATCTTGGAACTCCTACTAGGTATAAATAATTCCCACTTTTAATATGTAAGATAACACATTGTCAACTGTCTTATCAATTGTTTCACCCTTCTAAGTTCTGAGACAAAATGTAGCAAACTTGGTACCTTTTTCTGTGGAAGAGACTTTGGAGTTAAAATTTAGAAGTTAATTTTTATTGAGGAAAAAAACAGAACCCAAATATATAATTAACACATTTTTACTAAAAAGAAAAAGATGAATATTTAAATAATACAATAGATATAATTTTAAAGCTTCTTTTCTTCCTGCTGTTTAGAAAGGAAAGAGTGAGGACTCCACCACCCTTCACCGTGCATAGTGTGTTGATTTTGGAGAACCTCACCCATTAACACTAATTACTGCCATTTACTGCACTCTGTAACATGTGCCAGATATGGTAGTAGATGAGCTTTTCACTATTAAAACTTATACCTCTGACAGTAATAAGCCATCCTGTTATGAAAAGGTATGGAGAGAAGTCACTTTTCCCCATGTAATTATCATATCTGTTGAGATTGCTAGTGAATTATCTGCCTCAATTTCTTGCTTCTCTATTAAAATTTTTTTTAAAGCATACGCCAAAGAGAGCCCCTTTGTACAATAATTGCAATCAATCAACAGAGCTCCCAAAGCAACTTACTAAGCAAGTGACAGGTATGTGTCGCTGGAAGAAACAAAACAAACCCTGAGTTCTCAGAGAGATGACTGCCTTCTCCTCTATTTGCTCCTAGCGATTTTATTACATTACAGCTCCTTTTGGCCTCAGTTTCCTTGTCTGAAGCTCATCACGTCACACTCAAAGATGAGCAAAGCCAGCTCCATCCTTCAGGATTCAAAGCCTGAAGGGCAAACAGACTCTGATATACAAAGTTAATTGCTCAACAAAATTGTTTTGCCAGTCTCCAGAGCCGTTAACAGTTCATCCACAAAATTATGTAACCCTGCAGTCACCCTAAGTGTGGATGGCTACTCAGTCAAAGATTCAAGGTGAATCTTAACCCTTCTAGGAAAAGTCCTATAGAAAGGAACGTAGGTAGGATTCAAGTTTTTGTACTGATTCTCAAACGCAGTCTTACATAATGCATCTTTCAGGAGGGCTGTTAAACAGTTATGATGTCGACGTGGTTCAGTGCAATCACAGACTTCTAACTATGGATGTGTTTTAAAAGGCTCCCCATTGACTACGAGGCATTCCAGGTAGATGGCCCTTTTCAGGGGAAAACACTTCTGAGTCTGATCAGTCTCAACAAGTCAGCTCAGACCAACTACAGCAGAACTTGGAAGGCTCACCTATGCCAAGAAAACTTGCCTGTCAGGGTGAGGAATTTGAGAGAGGAATCTGAAGCAGAGTGGGTCCTTAGAAACAAGACAACACATTACCAGGAGTCCGGAACTTCCCTGGTGGTGAAGGGACAGGAAGAGGCCTCCTGCCAGAAAGGAAAGAATGAAGCTGGACCCCTGACCCGTGAGAGGAAGGACCTGGAGCTGGATGGGACACTTGGTTCTGGAAAGAGGGACAGGCAAGCTCTGCAGCTGGTACAGGAAGCTGGGAAATTCCAGCGTGAGTGGAGTGAGTGGCAGGCCATCTGGAGCGAGGGGCTTTGGGTGGGGAAAGAGGACAGAGTGACCTTGGAATATGCAGGGAAGAAGAAAGGACATGGAAAGACTGGGCCATTTTTAAATTACTGGTGATAGCAAGGGGAACGTGAAAAGATACGTAACAAGGAGAAGGGTGGAAAATGCGGAGGGGTATATGCCATGACATTTCTTTATTGTGCTCTTCAGATTCTCTCTGGCCAAAGCCCCGTGGGCTCTCTGAAAAGTCCAGGAAGATGCAAAACAAAGCCAAAAATAAAGGGAGCCTAAATCCAGTTTCTCAAGTGAGTGTGGTGCATTCCTTGGGAGTCTTCAGGCACCAGACAGCTATGTATTTCTACAATTAGAAGAGGTAACTTCTGTGTGTAACAGTCATAGCTATGGTTTGAGGAAACATTCCTATCTCTCCCAATGTGCATTTGCCCCTATTATAATAAGTGTCAGGGTTATGTTATATTGGGAGTACTGAGGATGGAACCAACGGTCTCACACTTGCTAAGTGAGCACTGTATCTCAGAACTACACCACCATCCCCAGCCCCAAAGGTCAGTTCTGTAGACATTACTAAGTAATTGACCTGTGTTTTCATCTAGTTTTCTATCAAGGTGTCTGCAATTTTTCTTTTTGTTTTAAGCTTTGAAGTTTTGGCTTGGTAGATGTTTCAAGTTTCAAAATCGTCTTTTCATGAGTGTCCTACAGTGATCTTTGGTAGTCAGGACTTTCTCATATAAGGATGAAAACAAGTTTCCAAGGTAAATATTAAAACCTAATCTATGTTCTTAATGGTAGGCTTCAGGCCCTGAGCTACTGGTGCCATAGTCAAAAATTATAATGGATTTCTCAGTACCTAAATTCTAAAAGTCATGCGTTCAAAGTGTTTGACAAATACTTAGAAACTATCAGAATGCTCTGACCCACTAGCAGAAGTGTTGCTAACTGACATGTAACTGTGTCATATTTGACTGCTGAAAAAATGTTTTATGCATAATGTTTTCCATAAAGTTCTCTTTCTCTAACATAAGCAACCCCACAATGGATTAACTAATGGACATTGTGTAATTATAGCAAAAGACACGCACATGTATCCTTTTTAGAAACCATCGATGATTCCCTGAAAATTTATGATTGGGAAAGTATTTTAGGAAACTATAATAAGGATTGCCCTGCATTCTCACTGTGTAAGACTAAAACATTTTCTATAATAATAATTGTGGCAGCTAACATTTATTATGAGCTTATAAGGAATGGG